AACAATAATACTATTATCAGGCAGACAGCAAAATAGAACACGCAGACACGTTTACATACACGAGATTAGAAAAGAGGAAGTGCCGGTTGAAAATGTGAAGAAAAGAAGAAAAGAAGAAGGGAAAATAAATAATTGAAAGAAGGAAAAACAAGTGGGAAACTAACAGGGAAAAAGCAACTGCATGGCTCTTATCATGGTGTTCCCATAGTGTTAAATGTCAAATCCAATGATATCCACTGACTTCGAACAGTGTAAGAGCTTCAGCTTGGTGAGTGCTGGTAAACCTCACTGGGAGCTTAATACTTGTCACATGAATTGATCTGACTTCTGACCTCTTTTATTAAGTGACTTCCCGAATAACGAAATGTAAACATACAGAGTTCAAAATAAGGGCTTTCAAAGTTGTCTAAATATCCTGTGGTGGCAAAAATTCATACAACCCCTCCCAACTGTGTAAACAAACATGGAGAGGAGGAGCAAAGATGAGAAGGAAAGGGAAGAGAAAATATAACCAGCGAGTAGAGAGAAGACCGTAAGAAATGTGCATAAGAACTAGCGGGAAAAAAATCAAAGGGCAGGACAAAGATGAAAACAAAATTCTGGGAGTGGAGAAAGAGTCTTTCAGCAGATGTAATGAAGAAAGCCGTAGTACACAGAGGTGTACTTGTACGTGATTGTCCATTATAGTTTCATTTCATTACAAATATCAAAGAGAAAATAACTGCAACTCGGTCATAATGGTGAGGAAAATACACTTTTAAAATTGCACTGAACTGATATGACTCGTGCTCTCTTAAGATTGCATTCATGAAATGTTTACTGCACTCAAAGAGGAATGCAGTGCTAAAACAAAAATGTTGACTTCTAACATGCTTCTTTATCCTGCTCTTTTCCTTATCTTCTCACCCAGGCCTCAAAGGTTTTTTCTCCCTAATGTCACCAAGTAATTGCTTGTTGAGGACTATTGGGATTCTCTTTAATATTTTAAGGGCTTGACCTCACAGTTTGAAGCACTTTGAGTAGACTTGTGTTGTAAACTGATGATTTTTAAACAAAACTAAATTAAGCTGACTTGAAGTGAATATACACAGCTATCTGAGTGAGTACAACAGTGTGTAGGTTTTCCAAAACTATGTGTGACTGTTAAACAGCTGGTGCCAGTGCTTTCATAAAAAGATAATATGTAAATCAGACAATCATACTTGTGCCAAAGAATTCATGAATTGTACAGTTTTCTAATAAACACCACCTCTAAGTCCACCTCTCCAGTAACTATATAGCAATTCAAAGGCAAATTACAAAAATGTAAATATAAAATGCATGTAATATAAAACATTAAGTTTGTAAAGCATGCAAAGAAAAGCTGCAGAACAAAGACACCAATGGATTGAAAACTTGCGTAAGGAAGCACCAAGTAGCTTTCTGTACTGTAGTGCCTTACAGACCAATTACAGTAACATTATCTAATATAAACTATCAGTATGAGTCATTCAGATGGACTATCAGACAATGATACTTAAACTTGGAACCATATATTTTTCAACACCAACACTAACTGAGCTCTGTGAACAGTTTTATAAACAGTTACAGTTTTCTGGCAGGCTTACATTTCAGACTTTCTGATTTAATTTTAGGGGATGAACACAAAACTTGCATTAAGTGTTGAGGAATTTCAACCATTTAGCAGAAAAGTCAATGAAAAGTCAGTCAGTCTTTGTCCAAACCCATCTAGAAAAGCAAGAGTAGCTTTGGAAAAAACATTTTAGATAATATATAACTAAGGTAAACCTGTATAATAAAGACAGGAAATAAAAGGTATGGATAACATTTTGAATGCCTTATGAACAGAGACTGAAGTGGCCCAGAATAATCTAGAAGGCCATTCCAGCACCTTCAGCTAATGAGCAATTAAATTTAACAGAATGCGTATTGGTGTCGCTTCCAGTGACGGCATGATACAGCTCAGTACATAATAAGAATAATTACATTTTTAAGTCTGCTTAAGCTCTCAGCTTTTCTATTTCTTTTCTTTTCTTTATTTTGTTAAAGTTGGTTAATTTAGAGTAACTTTTCATTTTAGAATTTTTAAATCAGACATGATGAGTTGCTGACTTGTGTTTTTGGTGAAACATCTTGCAAAACAAACTGAAGTATTCTCCTTTATATTATTCAAAAGTTCCATGAAAATACTGCACTAGGCAGTTTGGTACAGTTTAGTGCTATGCCAGTTTCTTTCAAACACTGTGTTGAAGTTAATAGTGACACACTAAGTTGGACTGGTACAGAGCAGGCTGTAGTGTTCATGGTCAATATTAGCCTGCGTCAAGTGTAGCATACATGAAGATTAGATTCATCTCCCCAAATTCCACCTTTTATACTACCTTTAAAATATCTTGGGGTTAGAAATCGGCCATATAGCTTGTGAAACATGTGCTTATATCTTGTTGACTTCAGTTAGCTAAATCCACAAAGAGAAATGGATATCATGGTAGCAACATCACATGGTAGCTTATCAAATAAGACTCTACTAGTGCGCTCAAAA